ATGCTAACCAAATCAATTGCAGTTTGTGGTGATGTAATTAAACAAGAACAGTCAAATTCAAATAAAAAATGTGAACTAGTGGTCAAAGACTATATAATTTAATTTTAATTTAAGCTGGCTCAGTTACTCCATCGTCATAACAAATTCAAATGTCATCAGCGATAATGCACAGACAAAAAGTTACAAATTATCAGAGCTGGCAGGAACTAATGCAGCGAGCAAGCGGAGATTAAAAACACATAACCCACTTCTTTTTCATTTTAGAATTTTTAGATTTAATTCAAGATTTGTTATTCTAAAACTAAATGCATTTAGAATATATAAAAAAAGCTGCTAATTTTATTTCTTTAGCAATATGAACAATCAGAAGAAATATGAAATATATATAGTAAGGACTGGTTACAGAGCTGGTGTGGCAGAATTTTTAGAATTTAGCAACACACCAAGCAACAAAATCTAGAAATGGCATAACTTTTAGAATTTAGAGCAGGCACTGGAAGCAGAATTTAGAAAGGCACTAGTCAGCAAAATTTAGGATCTACAGAGATAAGTTTAATATTCCCCCGTGATTACACCAGGTGGGAAAATGTCCAGTGTCAGATCTGTGTATGATGCATTAAGACATATTAGATGAATCTTTTAAATTGCCAGTTTTCAATTTCTTTATTAATCAAAAAATTCCTTTTTATAATACCTGTCCATGTGATAACATTAGAAGCATTTTTAATATTTTCCATACTTGTGTCTAGTGAAAAGTAGAGAAAATAAAGGGAAGATAAACATATTAAGAAAAAGATTCTAGTATCAGAAGTAAAACATTCAAATATTATGTTTTATTGATCTTCCAGAAGTTCTCCAAAAAGTAAGAAATTCATTGCAAACTTTCTGTAAAATACATCCATTGTGTGATAATACCATAGAGACATTTTTCATTTTGTCACATTTTTCTAGAATTTTCTGGAATCGTGGGTCTATAAATCTTGCCTTCAAATCCTTCTAAATTTTCCAAGTTACATCCTTCAAGTTGCAATGTCTAATGTCCCGAAGAAAAATTACCCCTACCAATTTTGTAAAAGCAAACAGCTGGAAATATTTTGAAAAAGAAAAAAAAAAAAAAAAAAAAAAAATCACACTGAAAAAGTGCAAAATTTTATAGAGAAGACTGATGCATATTCTGAGAATTCTGAATATTCTGAGACAATTACATGAGAAAACTCCTATCATGCAAAAATTAAAAGAAGATTTTTAATTAATAAGTTATTTTTTAAATATAATTTCAGTATATTACCATTATTTTAATGAAGTTTATCAATGTTACAATTTAAAAAAAAAAAAAAAAAAAAAAATCATTGTAAAATTCGCAGATCTTACAATTAAAAACTTTCTGTAGGAACTGATTTTAAAAATTGCCAAAATGTCGATAAGTTGCCAAATTTATAGCCTTTCAATAAAAAAAAATCCCGAATGCGAAAAGTTGTTTAAGAGCTTTTCATTAGAAAAAGTGAAATAATTTCATTGCACGTGACCTGTTTATAGACTTTTCACAAACAGAAATTATGATATACAAAATATTTTGTTTATGTAGAATTAAAAAAAAAAAACTAACACACTTCTACATAACATGTTGAATGAAGCACAAAATAAATTTGATTTTTCATTTATTTTCCTTTTTTGAGAAAATGGATAAAATTTATGCACTAGAAATGCTAGCAGCATGTTAGCTCAGAATGCTAAATAAGCATCCAAAGGCTGGCCATCCAAGAGGAAGTAATATTTTTCTGAAGATTTATCAGAACATAATTTGCACTCCTGTTAAAACAGGTGGTAACAATTCAAGAAACTATGCAACTAAGTGCATTTCATTGCCACCTACTGAACCTGGAACAAACTACTATATTATTTCATTTGGTCAGTTATAAGATCTAAGTTACTAGAATATTATAAAATTCTGATAACATAATTTACTTGCTAGTAAAAAAATATTGTTTTTGGATGCAAACCATTCATAATGCACAACTAATACACATTACATAATCCTACAAAAGCTTTAAAGTAACATCACACGCAACCTAATTAATGTAATATAACCTAGTTTAATCTTGTGGCTGCTTATCTTGAGATTTCCATGGGTAACTCAAATGTGGCAAAATTTTGTCATCACGTGATTTTTGTAGGCATGTGTTTTTCTTCCTTTATTGAGGAGCACATCCAGCCTTTATGCCGTTTAATCAGCGAAATAAATTATATACAGCATTAGACGTTTAATTTAGGTTTTGACCAACAGCTGTCATTAGTTGTGCATTAAATTTTAATATACTTGGTATTTACCGCTTTAACTTCATTATGTTTGCCGCCTTTTTCTAATCAGCTAAAAAAACGTTCAGTGAATGACAGAGTATATATTCCTGATGATTTATCAGATTCTGAAAGTGATTTTAGCTTTGATAGTGATAGTGAAGTAAATTTGCAAAGAAACACGAACCTGGTGCAAAGACTGAAGTTGGACTTTGCCTTGAACTCTATCATACTAAATTACATTTCTAAGGTATTTTTCCCCCAGTGCATCATATTTTTTGAAGTTTTATACATTTTACTTTTTTTTATTATGTAATAAATAGAAATGAACTGTAATTCAATTGAAATTTATGAAAATTTTTTTTCTGCGTGACAACATCTGAAATTGGTTTTTCTGACAGCTTAGTTTCTCATGATAAAAATCTATAGTAAAAAAATCTTTTGTAGGGGGGGAAAATGCATATTTAAATTCTCCAATATATATAGATTTAAAATATGAAAAAAAAAATTTTGAAGCGATTTTGGTCCACAAATTTAGCAGTCAGAGGTTTAAATTAATTGATATAGCCTAGTTTATATTAAAAGATACAGATATTAACAAACTGAAAAGCAACCATTAAAAAAAGCATTGAATAAAATGTATGCAGTTGGTTGATTAAATTAAGGAAAAATTATGAAGTTTAATGCCATAGAGAAGAAGTGCCTTAATATGCAAAAACTAGTTCGTATTAATATTATACACAAAAACAAACAAGAAAACTCATTACTCTGGAACTAGGAATCAAACTAAAGATAAAATACTTAGTTTTCCCAAACTTTCATCACTCAGCTTTATGAAAACATTTTCGCATATTTCAAAAATGAATAAATATGATTTAACCACTAGCTGAAGATGCTCGAAAGGATATCTTTCGGGAAGAAATGATAAAAATAAAGTAGAACCTTAGTCTCTTGTTTTCCAATAAAATGCAAGAAAAAATAATGAATATGAGAAAATGACTGAAGCAGGAAACAATAAAAAATTGCAAAAAAGTAATACATTATAAATAAATAGTATTTATTACTTGAATAAGAACACACTATATTTAACATTACTTAACAAAAAATGCATACATTGATTGTCCTTTGTCTTTTGGCTGAATTTTGCCTTAATTCAAAATATAACTAACATTTTAAATGTTTTCACAATCTATTGTCATTTCCATTGTGTTCAGAAAAATATTTCAATATTTGGAAAACTTATGTTTATGTGAAGCTTGGAAAAATTAATTTTTCATTTTCATATTCTTTACTCACAGCTCCTGCAGTCAAGTAAAAACTTACTATAAAAATTAAGTACCTGAAAAATAATAAACTTACTGCAACTTCTAATGAAATAACATTAAAACAATGACACAACGTGGATGCACAACTGAGAGACACATTAAAGCTCTGCTGTTTACTATATTGCAATATTGCCACATTTTATATTTCAAACATAAATAATACAAATAACAAATGTTATACTTCACTTTAAACCCTCCCTCCCAAATGAACTATGTGGGAAATGTTGTGTTGGGAACATGATTCACCAATAATTCAGTTTTTACCAAACGAAAAGCTCAATTCGGAGAAGTATTGTCAGCACCTGGATAATTTAAAGACAACAGTCCAAGAAAAGAGGCCAGCAGTGTTCAATAGGAAGGACATTATATTGCATCATGATAATGCTAGGACACATGCTGCTTTGGGGGACTCATCAAAAATTTGCAGAACTAGGCTGAGAAATTCTGTCACATCCACCATATTCCCCAGATTTAGCACCATCCGATTATCACTTACAAAATTACTGGTTCAAATTTTTACATCTAAAGATACATTTTTCAAAAATGGGATATACAAATTGCTCTCACGCTGGCAAGAAGTCATTAATAATAATGGCAATTACACTATTTAATTAAGTTTATTGATGGTAAGAAAAATTTGTATTTTGTTTCATTCCAAAAATGGACAGAACTTTACGGTACACTGTACAAGAAATGATCATGGGGGGGGGGTAAGCCAAAAGAGCCTAGTAACATGCAGAGGTTGCATCCTCAAAAAGTAATGCTTTGCATAAGTTGAAGAAAGAATTGATTGTATACTATGAATTGCTACTACAAAAACAAATTTTAGAAAATAACATTTTGAAATGAGGTTTAATAAGGCTGAATGTTTTGTTTCGTTCCCCATATTCTGACCTTGCCTCCTCTGTTTTTTAATTTTCCAGGTCACTTCAAAATTCTCTGAACAGCCTGAACTATTTATTTCTTTGGAAACTATAAAAAAGTATGCTGATAATTTCTTTATAAACACAGACATTTTTTGAAAAAAGAAATTTTCCAACTATCAGAGAGATGGAAAAAAGTCATAGAATAAATGACATTTACGTGTCAAATCAATTAACGTAAATACCACATGAACCGATGAGATTATCATATGTTTTTGCACTGAGACATTTGTACTTAGCATAAAAAAACTACAGAACTTCCTAGATGATCCAACAGAAATTTCTACTGCCTTTGAAAGATCCATAAATGAGTAAATGCACTCCCCCCTCTTAAACTGAAAACTGATACCGATAGAGTTCTCTATTTGGAAGATACTACATGATAAATAATTCTATTAACAGTTTCACTCCAGAGGAAACTGACATTATTTCATAATCCCACATAATTTTTACTTACTATATAAATACTCAGAACAACCATCAAAACCTTCATCTTCCTCTTCACACTTTTCTGCAGCAGTTTCATGATCACTAAGAGTAGTAGCAAAAATGCAAGCTCCTCTTTCAACCAAAAATTTCACCATTGGCAGATTATTACAAGATGCAGCACAATGAAGAGGAGTCCTGAAAAATAATAATACAATACAATTTTAAAAAATTCATACTATTTACTTCATTAAAAATTGGATATGACCTACAGGTATATTTTCACGCAAAAGTGATTTCACAGATAAATCATTCTAGAATTGTTATGACACACACACACACACACACACACAAAAAAGGAAGTTTTAACTTTTATAGCATAGCTACACTCTACAGCATTAGAGATATTATTAATTAAAGAAACCATCAAATAACAATTGTTGGAGGTATTACAGTAACAAGAATCAGCTTAAGCTGCAAAAGTTCAAAATTATTCTTAAAAAGTTATGCAACTTATATTGATTCTGCCTGCTTTAATATCTCCAAAATTCTAAGACATACACTGCAGTATGAGGAAGGACTAAAACCATCTTGATTGGCATGGCGGTTAGCAGTGTTGGCTACTATAACGCTGGGCCCAAAACTGAATCCCAGTAGAAGGCATGGATGTTTATATAGTATCACTGTGACAGGATACTTAAAATGCCATTCAGTGAAAATCCTTTCAAAAAGTGGGTGATAAAAAAAGAAGATTAGGAGACCCTTGGATCCATATATATATATATATAATCATAAAGTAACCAAAAAATTTCACTTTGATTACACTGAGTTTATGTACAGTCAGTTTCATATTCACTGTCAGTTACGATTAAAAAGATAGTCTTTGCACTGACAGATAAGGATATAGAATGCGGCACACATACTGATAGCATTACTATCAAATAAGCACAAGGCAGAAAAATTTCAATTAGTATTTTTACTATTTTGGATTGTGGAAGGACTTAACTACCATATCAGCCTTTCAACTAACTGTGATGTAAAATCAAGAACATCTTGGTAATCTTTGTAAATCTAATCCTGCTGCATAATAATCTATGCCTTTGTGGTATCAAATTCACAGCTAGATAATCTTAAATAGCAAATCGAGGCCTTCCAGTGTAAATTCCCCTGCAAAGCTTTTCCTATCAATTGTGTTGAGAAAAGTTCCTTAATGAACATCATTTAAGTTGAAAAATTACAACAACAAACTGCATCAGACATTTTGATGCAGCAGAGAATAAGCTTTTAACAAAATATTATCTTGGTTGATTAAGAGGACTTTTTTTTAAAGTAATGAATTTTTTTTAAGACAGAGTTTTTAATGAGCTTTACAGTCATTAAATTGAAAGTTTTTAATCATCTTATAAAGTTCAGAAAAACACATTCATTTATGGATAAACTGTAGCATTTGATGAATCAAAAATGAAAAATCAAGAAAGAAAAATAATTTATATTAAAAAAATTCACAAAATTATTTACCATCCATCACTGTCTTGAGCATTAACATCACAACCAAATTCAACAAGGAAAGTCACAACATCAAAATGGCCAGCACATATGGCATTGTGCAAAGCTGTTATTCCTTCATCATTAGCAGCACTGGGATTAGGAACCTTCGTGAGGAGGGAGAAATATTAATTGAAATGTATCAAAGAAACACTATTAAATATCCACATCCTTAAAATTAAATTTGATTTATTACACAGTTTTTATGAAACACCGCTTTCCATCCTAGGAATCCAATATAATCCCATTCAATATATTGACCATTTTGCTTTAACAAAAATACTACTTAAAGGAACCTAAATGTTTATACATCTAACATATAACAGTGGTAGCTTAAAATAACAAAACAAAATGTTTACCATATGAAACTATACAATAGAAATGATTAACAGATGAAATCAATTCAAGCCTTTTAAGCCACAATTATACACTGCTATATATAGTATCAGAACGAAAACTTGAGAAATCATAACTGATTCAAATGGGCATAACTTCCATTGCTTTCCATACTGAAGTGAGCAATTAGTTCTATATCATAACTGGAGAAATGCAAAAATACAGAACTTTAAATTAGCTTTAGAAAAGAACAGAAAGAATTAGATAGCTAATATAAAGGATAATTCTAAATTGTTTTTACAAATTAAATGTGGTGATAGTACCCATCCAGATGAGCAATAATTACCCTAGAACATAGAATCGCAGTCCACTCAGAAGAAAAGAGGAAAGTAGAAACACATCAAGGAAGAACAAGGAGACTATCTCTTAAGACTCAAAATTAACCGTATGCAAATTTGCACTGAGAAGCAGCATTTTGCTCTTAGTTGGTACTGGAGAAAGCCAATCAGAGCAAACGGTGTCCTTGAAAACGGCACAATATCATCGCTTCAAGTATTATTACCTTGATAACATTGTCCGAAACACTGCTAGAATGTTATGGCTGTTGGTATGCATAATAGTGATGGACTGTTGCCAATAGCGCGATAAACTGTATCAACTAAAAACCCTGCAAAAGAGTTGATTGTGTAACTCTCTTATTCTTTACACTTACTTTTCTCACTCCTTCAGGTATGGACAGTGATATAACACTCTCTATAATATAACTCCCTTTTTCAATACGTATTTGGAATACTAACGAATTTTTATCTATTTTCATGTATTAATAAAGAATGCGTTTTGTGATCTTATAATTTTCCATCTACACCTATTTTGGATTACAAGTTAATTAGGTATGATCTCGCTTGAAATTGCGCTGAATACAATGTAAGAAGAATTATTTTGCTCTCTATTTTTTATTAATTTGTTGTGAAATTTCGAGGCTATAAAATGTTTTACAACAATGGCGAAGTACACATACGAGGAATTGGCAGATTCACCTCACATACGGTGAAGCAAAATGGGAATGGAAGCAAAATAGGAAGATTGTATGAACACCAGTTTCCAGCTCGTCGGATTCCAAGTCATCCAATCTTTTCCAGAGTTGATCAAAGACTGTGAGAAACCGATTCTATTGCCATCTCAAAAAGCAATGCAAAACATTTGCAAAATGCACGAACGTCAGAAATGGAGGAGCGAGTTTTGACTAGATTGAAGCAGCTCCATCCACAGGTACGCGAGCGGTTACATACAGAATGGGCATTTCTTAGCGAATGGTGTGGTGCAGTTTACATGGGGAACACATGCACCCCAATCACATGTAAAAAATTGAAATCTTTGGACACAGATGATTATCTCTGCTGGGCAGATTTTGTGCAGTGAATGCTTGGAATAAGAAATAATGATCCATAATTTCCTGCATTAATATTATTTAGTGATGATGTAACATTCAGCAGAGGAGGCATTTTCAACGTGCACAATCAACATGTTTGATCTGACAGCAATCTCCATTGCACTATTCCTCATAAAATACCAGCCCAAATTTTCTGTGAACGTCTGGGGGCAGGTATCCTAGGTGATTACCTGGTAGGCCCTTGCATCATACCAGACCGTTTGACCGACACAATATACCGTATCTTCTTGGAACAAGTGCTTCCCAGTTTATTGCAGGCTGTTGTGCTCTCCATTCAGAGAGACATGTGGTTTAAGCTTGATGGAGCCCCAGCACATTTTTCTGTCACAGTCTGTAACTTTTTTAATGCCACATATCCCACACAATGGAGTGGATGTGGTGTACCTATGACCTCGCTCACCGGACCTCAACCGGCTGAACGTTTTCTTCTGGAAGCACATGAAATCTTTAATGTACAAGATGCCTGGTGACTCAGCTGAAGATCTAATGGCAAGAATTGTTGCTGTGGATAAAATTAATATGACATAGGAACCTTCGAGAGGCAGTCGTTCCTTCGCCGATGTCAACTGTGCAATGACAAGCGTGGTCGGCATTTTGAGCACTTTCAGCGAGTTTATCAATAAACAATAAAACTGATTGTTGAACTTTTGGTCTTGTTCATTCACTTTCCCAACATTGTTGCAAGTTCAAGTTAGAATTCTAATATTCCTCCTTTCTGCCTCTCAGAGTGGAATGCAACCCTTTGTTCTATGGTAATTATTGCTCGTCTGGATAGGTACTATCACTCCTCTTAATTTGTAAAAACAATTTAGAATCACCCTGTATAAAAATATATGAATTGAATGCAAAATTTTAATAAAGAGATGATGATGAATGATGAATTTAATAAAGAGATAATGAGAGATGACAGATTTTCCATGACAATATAAAACTGGCAATAATAGTTCAAACTATTTATAAGAAGTTTTACAACATTTTGTGGAAGCAAATCTGTTGTTTCTTACATGCACATACAGTTTCTAGAACATGAGAAGAAAAGATTGGATTTCTTAAAACTTATATTATAAAGCATCCCTAATATTAATTTAGAAGTCAAACAACAAAAATCAGCATTTTATTTTTTAATTTTCACAGGACTAGTTTCGATGGTTTTACCGAACCATCATCCTCAGCTGCAAAAGAGCAAATGAAGAAAGCCTGGACAGGAGATATGCTACTGGCGCCATCTGTTGATGAAACCAGAACTAAAACATAATTTCTTTAAAGGCTGAAGGAAAAGATTGATTGGAATTAGGGTTGTTAACTAGAACAGAATGATTTTTTTGTCTGCAGCATGAATGTGAAATGCCTGCAGCAAATCCATTTCACCAATGGAAGATGTTTTTTGAATAATTTTGGCAGCAGAAAAACAAAGTGCGATTTTCGGACCAACAATGTTGGGCAACAGAAGACTTCTGTGTGTCCTTTTTTTTCAAACATATGTTTCATGTTCCTTAACGTGAAATTTTAAGGCTCTCTTAGTTTGGCCAATGTAAATTAAGCCTCACTGGCAAGGAATCCTGTAAATACCCCAGGAATTCATATCTGGAATGGGGTCCTCGAGTATGGAACTCGGAATTTTATTGATGGGAGAATAAACGACCCAAAAGTTAAATTTTTGCAAAATATGTGCAACTTTATAGCTAATTGATGGAAAGAAAAAAATGACAACAGAATTTTTAAAATCTCCTAAATGCTTAAAGGGATGCTCCTAAATGCTTTAAGCATATTAAAGATGCTCCTAATCCCTAATATGCTTAAAGGGGTTCTTTTCATCACATTCTTAAAATTTAATTCATTTCTCTTAAATTGCTGAGTTTTCTAATTAAATTTAGTGGCAGAATATTGTTTTCAAATTGATGATTTTTTTAATTGAATTTGAAAGATATATCTCTTCCAAATGGTAACATCACTTTTAAATTGCTAAGCTTTTGAGCACTGAATTCCCACAAAATTTGAAAACAATAAACAAATTCTAAATTCAAGATTAGGGCTTTGAGGTGAACATGTTTGGTTAGAGGACTATGTATGTTCAAAATCTGGTGGCTTTAAGTGTTATCATTTTTCCACAACATGAGGAATGCATAGATTCTTCAGTATTTAATAACTGTAGAAAACAATTTTTGAAAATGATCTATTTGGACACAATCAGCATAGCAAACATATTCACAGAAATATGCATTAATAATATGGTTGTAACTTCCATAATTTTAATGCACTTTATGAAGCTTCTGTGAAAGTTTCATAAAGTTCATTAAAATGACAAATTAAAGACAAGTAACACATTCATGTCATGATCAAATATGTTGAAAGATACTATTAACATGCTATACTAATGCCATTACTAATAGTATTTTATCTAGAAAATTTCTTTATCAAATATAATGCAGCAATTTTATATTATATCTTTGTTGCAAAAAATTAAATTCTTGTTACAATTTAATAAGGAAAGATTAAATTATTTTATTTGTTATGCAAAATTTACTTATTTATACTTATTATGAAAATATTCTCAATTTCTATTAACAAATTACAATAAACAATCAATTTTTGTATCTGAAAAAATTTCAACTTACTTCACTGGCAGTTTTTTTAACTAATTCTAACTCGCCCTCAAGAGCAGCATCTAATAGTAATGCAAGAGGATCAAAACTAACTCTACGGCAATGGCGAACTGAACCTTCACTCTTCAAATTGCCTTTTTTTATTCTACGAAGAGCAGCACTGTGAGAAATGGCATCATCTGTTTCATCTGCAGTAATCACATCATCTGTTTCTGAAAATAAACAATCTCAATTTCCTTTCTGCACTATGTAAGTATGTAACAAACACTGCATAGGAAATACAAGTAAAAATTCAGCTGTGATAATAAGCATATAAAATCAGCTCATTTTTTTTCAATTTAAAAGTTGATATTTTATTCAGCTTGGTATATGCAAGAGTGGCATAGTGTGGGGGGGGCAAGGGGGTGTATGATGCTCCGAACACCACTCACAGAGGGGCGCCAAATGGTCTCCAAACAAGATTTTCATCATATCAATGTTTTTTTGGGGGGGCCTAAAAGGTATTTTGCCCCAGGCGCCAGTTATGCTCGTTACTCCACTGATATGCAACTCTAAAAATTTATTTTTGATGATTCCTTCATAGTCCTTTCATTAAATGCTTCATTAGAATCAGAATTTAAATGTGGTTTGGACTTAAAACAGTATGACCAAAACATTAACATTGATTAATTTAAAAATGTTAATAGTTCTAATCTCAGAAGTTTTAAAAACCTTGCTAAAATATTTTCGATACTTATATTTTAATACAGTCAAAAGTCGTTAATCCGGACTCGTCGGAACTTCGGCGATTCCGAATTATCGATTTTTCCGGATTATAGATCATCAGTTTAAATCTCCTAAGATGGCATGCAGAAATTCTAAAATTAAGAATATGAAACTGTAAATTTATGAAATAAAGAACATTATGATCTAAGAGTATCAAATTTTAACAAAAAAAAAAAAAAAAAAAAAAAAAAAAGCTTAATATTTATTTGTTTACTTTATTAAACATTTCTTTCAATGTAAGTTATTTAAGTTGCTTCTTTTAGTGATAAGACTTTCTCTTTAATTCTAATAACAGACTAATTTCTTGTTCATTACAAAGTCCACTGTTCAAGTCCGTTAATTGCTGTGGCCGGAATACCGACTAACTTGTCAATCGAAATTTTTTCGTTTTCACTAACCTCTCTGTCACATTCTCATGTCTTTATCCATTTTTGCAGCATTCCACTTTTTGTTGATGGACCCGAAACATACTTTCGTTTTGTACGATCCTGGTGGAGCTCCAGAATCGGAAATTCTTTTTGACATAATCGAAAGTTCAGTTTACTTTTTAGTATTGCTCTTACAGTCTGCAAAATAATAGCCGGATCCAATTCGAAATTAAGGAACAATGTAATCATCACATTAACTGAAATAGATAATAATAATTTTAAGCTTTAATACCTCCGTTATACATAAAACGCCGCACCGAAAACGTATTCTGCACTTGCGCACACCATATGCGCTACGTAAAGATCTTCGGGCATGCGTAAACCGTAATGCGCATGTGTCAACGGCGCAGGCGCAAAGTTTTTTAGCTTTGAGGTCCGGATTAGATCTTCCGGATTATGGTGTCCGAATTAACGACTTTGACTGACTAACTTCAGTCTTAGATTGCCTTATTATATATAGAATAGATTTAAAATTAGTATAAAAATTGGTGTCAGTGTTTTGTTCTAAATCAGATTTAAAAAGCTAAATTAACATCATATATCTACCTGCCTTAAGCTCTCAATACTTTTTCAAAAAGAGAGGTATGAATTTTTACTTTGTAGAGACATTAGGTAATTTTTGGAAGCAGGCAAGATGAAAAATGAGCAATCGGCTTTGCAGGAATCAAACCACGGACCTCTGGAATACCGGCCCAGCATGCAGAACCACTACACCACGAAGGGATGCTAAGAAGGTGGGAGAAATAACTTATATACTCCCCCTTTTTGGGGACTCAATCGCCAAATCCTGGGTGGGGAGAAATCGTCATCCACCAACTTTTTAGTTCGAGCGCCAATGTACAGACATTAGGTATTTTTTTAGAAGCAGGAGAGATGAAAAATGAGCACTCGCCTTTGCCGGGAATCGAACCACGAACCTTTAATATACCGGACCAGCATGCAGAACCACTACACCATGAAGGCATGCTAAGGCCCATATCACATGTCGTTTGTTTCACATGAACAACTGTTTCAGACAATTTTTCTGCCTGGTTTACTATTGAAAGATGTGCGACTTTTTTCTTCCTTTCCAAAAAATTGCAAGTTGTTTGTTTTCAACCTTCGCTTCAATGCTAACAGTTGCTTGTAATGGGGAACCAGTTTTCCCTGTGTTAATGCCAAAGCAATCTATGGTGATTGGCTGTTATGACAAAGCAGAAAAATTGTTCCAAACAGTTGTTCTTCTGGAACAAACTGATGTGTTATAGCAGCCTAAGAAGGTGGGAGAAATACCTTATAACTTATTTATACTTATTACGCACTTATTAAAATGCACAGAAAAAAAATCAACTGCTAAAATAAAAATATGTAACGCTTATGTTCATTAACCCATTTTCTTACCCTTTTTATCTGTACTTTCACCCTACTTTTATCAGTTTCCACCAGAATGTGAATTAGTTAACGTGTACATAAGAACAAAGTTCTTGAAGTTACGGAATGAGCTTCTAACAACAAGCACTGACCTTTGTACTATTTCTTGCCTTGCTTTCAGAATTACTTAAATTGGCTTCATCCTTTTGCTAGTCATGTTTGTTCACATACTTAAAAGCCTGTGTGGAAATTTTGATTAATTGATAGATGGCGCTAGCATCACATGTTAAATGCGACATGCCTTCTGAATTTCCAGAGACACTCCACCGTGGATGTTTAGATGTTTCGCACACTTCAGGAACACTTTGGTTCCTATTTAAAAGATTTTGATTTTCAATCGCATATAGATTTGTTGATAACTGAACCACCGAATGCTGTAATTAATATTATGTAAATATTGTGTACGTATTAAAAGTTACATTTTTAAAGTGATTGATGTCAATTTGTAGCAATCTTAGAATATTTTGAAACAGCCTGAGCCAAAGCTTATTGTATGATTTGGCCATAAATTGAAACTACACTTCATTATGTACTCCCCCCAGCATTTTTTTAGTACCAGATTATGAAAACTGAAAGAACGTTTGCACAGTTTTATTCTTCATCAATGCATTCACAGAATGAGGTCCTCTGAGTTCAAAATATATTTGTTCTTGTAGTTTTCTTTTTACTAACAAACTCGAGTTAACTACTTGCAAAGGTCATGCTGAACCTTTTTTTCTCTGAATGTTGAATTTTATGGATGATTTGAAGTCTACGGAGTAGCAAAGAAAACAATAAGAATGGACTAGGTTAAAGTTACAGGGAAGTAGAAATGAAAATATCTTATTAGGTATTACAATGCTAATATAACTCTTACTGAAATAGAGGTTTCTTCAATGCAGTAATAAAACCATGACTTCTTTTCATGTGTTATGTTCTTACTGTAACTGCATTCTTCAGAAATTAAAAATTATTTGCACAACTTTCTTCCTAGATTTTCAAACAATCAAATTAGTAAAAGAAAGGGAGGATATGCAAAGAAATATGGTACTAAAGTTTACTCTGATATTTGTGCTCTGCAACATGCTGTAAAAGCACTGATTCATTTTGTGATACACGAGCTGCATAATCATTACGTTGCAGTTACAACAAAAGGTGACCAAGTTGACACATGAAGTGACCAAGTTTTCAGAATGAGCCAAGCTTTGTTAGCCATGCTCATAATATTTCTTCAGTCAAGCAATGTCCTCAATTTTGTACGTGTTCTTTTTTTCTTTTGTTCTTTTTTTTTTTTTTTTTATTCCAGGTTATAAAGGCTTTATAAGCACAAAACATGATATTTTTTGCTATAAACTCTATTTTAAAAATACATGCTTGTGGAATTTGCCAGTAATGAAAGAACTGCAGGAATATAGTATTTTGCTACAAAATCAATAAAGGGAATAATGATGAAGCGTTTGATAGCTAGTTGGTGTGCAATGCCAGGCTTATGCAATTCTATTTTTTTGAATGAAAAAAGATGCTTATATGGGAAAAAAAGGGCAAAAAAATTACAGAAGATTTCTGTGAAAATTGTGTTTTATTTTATAATACGTCACATAATACTTATTTAATAATTAAATTCTGTGTTTTATATTGCCAAAGTGTGTTTTATGATAAATATCGATAATTCAGCAATTTTCTTAAAGACAGTCGCAAAATTTGCCAAACCTTGCCCTGGTACGTAACTTATCTCTTCATCTGTAAAATTTCACCATAGCATACTGCACCAAGGTGGTTGTGTTAATATGTCAGAACCCCCAAAAAAGGTTTATTTTAACCCTTTTTCTGAATTCAAATTATTTTACTCATACTTCAAGACAATGCAATAACTTATTTGACTGTCAAAATGGATCCAGATAATATTTTAATTCTTGGGTTTCCATATAAATAAACAAATAATATCTATATTATTCTGTTGGTATGGCTTTAACACTACAGTCTTAAAATTTTGAATGAGAAAGCGCACTTATGTTTTGATGGGGACTCTTAAATCTCCCACTGTACATAACTGCTGGTCAAAAGATCACATTTTTTCAGTTTTAGGTAGCTAATATTATTCAAAAACCTCTTTCATTGGCTAATGGGAGGTTACCAGGAACCCTTTTATATTCATAAAAATCTGTTGGATCTCTTTAATGATACAAAGTCTGATGCCTCTTAATCATCAGCTTTTTAAGAACTTGCTTGCTTTCATTCACTTTGCTATTAATAGATGGTGTTAGCAGCTTTGTCTTCAGTCAGTTAGAATCTTTTCAAAATTTTTTGTACTCTTATGTATTTTTTCATCATTTTCACTCCTGCTTGAAAACAAAGGTTCAATTTGATCCCTGAAATTACAGTGCAGTATATTTACTCATGTGCAATAAATTACTGTTCCATTTAGCAACAATATATTCTCACCTTGAAAATTGATATGAGAAAGGGTCAAGCATTTCAGGTATTAAAATCTCTTTAAAGGAATAATCGATATTTCGATTAATCATCTAGTTCTGCATTTAAAATGCATTCTGTAGATAACAAACAGACTCAAGGATTGTTTTCTGACCATTTCATCTCTGAATTAGAAAAAGATTGTGCAAACGGCAGTGACAAAGGAGAAATTACAAATGTGATTGGCAAGCTATTTGCCGCAGTTCCTAGCAGCAGGAATTATCCCCACCACAAATGTCTCTAATAAACGAGTTTCAGAAAAAGCTCCAGTTAAATCTAATTCGCTCAACACTACTGAATCATTTAATATCGACCTTAGTTGACTTATAAAGAGCACTGAAGAAAGCAGGAGCAACTGCTCCAGTGCCAGATGATATTAGTAATGAAATGTTGAAATATTTCCCAAAATAATCTCTGAATATACTTCTTTTGCTGTATAACAGAATTTGGTAGAAGCATGGCAGAAAGCCATTGTTATCACTATAGCTAAGCCAGGAAAAGACCCTAAAGATCCATCAAATTACCAACCTACTGCTCTTACAATTTGCTTTTGCGAAAACTGCGAATTCCTGTTTAGGTTATTATTCAGAGAAAAATGACCATCTGTCGCCCTTTCAGAGTGGTTTCAGAAAAGGCTGGCTACTAATATTCTACATTTGGAAACAGTATGAAATGCATTTTCTAAGAGGAACCACATGATTTCCATCTTCTTTGACATGAAAAAAACCTTATGATCATTCATGATGCTATGGTATTCTTTGTGACCTCTACAGCAGTGACTTGAGAGAAAATTTACCTACTTTCATACAGAACTTTTTAAAAGGTAAGAATACAGTGTGCCACAAGGTTGGGTGCAAAGTGTAACATTATTTAGTCTGAAGATGAACACCATTTTCAAAAATCTTCCTCCTTCAGTTGAATGTTCTTTACATGTTGATAATCTACAAATATGCTGCCAAAGCAAAGCATGTGTGCCATATAGAGTCAATTTCAGCTTTCTTTGAACTGCTTAGTGAAGTCAATTAAGGAAAACAAATTGAACTTTTTGAATAAAAAGATGACTTGTCTATACTTCTGTCGGAAAAAAGGCCTCCATCTTGATATAAAATCTATTTGGATAGTTCTTTAATTCCTGTGGTATTCAAAGCTAAATTTTTGGGATTGATATTCAACAGTATACTCACTTTTTGACACATATTTTACATTTGAGGAAGAAGTGTTTGAAGACTTTAAACCTCTTGAAAGATCTGTCAAATACCTCATGGGGAGCTGATTAGTATTCACTGCTACGACTGTATAAAGCCTTTGTGCAGTCAAAAGTATATTTTGGAGCAGTTGTATACGAAGTCCGCTCGTTCATCAGTCTAATGAAAATTTGATCCAGCACATCAAAGCTCTGATGTTTTTCTTCATGGGCATTCCAAACATCTTCTGTGTACAGCCTGTATGCATGATACTTTTGTGGAAAGTTCCAGAACTTTAAAGTGTTTCTTTTGAGAAAATAAATTTTATTAAGCTATCACCAGTTCTGTGAGCATTCAATCCATTATGAACCCGTACACTTGTGTAACAGTTCTGATATTCATTCCAGCAGTGGTCATTAAACTTTTCACTAAATGTAAAATTATATTTAATTGATTATGGCAAGTAAAGTAATATGAAGGCCATGTGCTTCAGGAGATGGTTGCTTTTGGGGAGAACTTTGTAAGAAAAGGAAGTTTATCTTTGTTGCATATAGGAAAGCCCATGAAAATGTCTATGTAACCAAGATTTGAAACTGGATCAAACTATTAGTGTTCAGTAACCTTAATGTTTTAACCACTAATATGCCAATATAAAACTATGAATCTTCAGAGAATAAAATAATGAGAAAATAACAACAAAGGAAAGAACATGAAATAATTTCAGTAATCTTTATTCGGTTATTGAAATTTTGATTATTTCAGAAATAAGATTACAAAAAATTGCCAATATCACTAAAAAGCGAAACATGCTAAAAAAAAAAAAAAAAGAAAGAAAGAAAAAGAAATATTAATTTCTGTACGAGGCAGAAAACAGTTTGTTTTGAGAGAGAGAAAACGTTTTCCTTGCGAAAGTAAATCATTGAAGTGAATGGGGATGAAGGTAAATATACAACTTTGTTTTATTTTCAGATACGCATAAATCATGGAAGCATTTCTACATACGCTAATCATATTAATCATCATTAATACTTTGCCCTCTGCAGTCACAGTTGAAGTGACTGCAGAGTGCAAAGTATTAATGATGGGTAGTGAATTAAATATTTAATGAAGTATGGAGTGACTGCAGAATACTAAAAAGATTGAAGTGACTGCATACAACTAAAAAGATTTTTTAAAAACACAATGAAATTTTCTTGTTATCCATAAAATAAAAGACAAATTTTAATCAGTTTGAGTTTGGGACATCTGACATTTATATAAAAGAATGCCATGATGGAAGAGAGTAAATCAGACTTGATGCAGAGCTAGCTAACAAGCAGTGACAGTACAGAGGATTAAAAGACATCCTATTTTAGAAAATTTTACATAGATTCAACTTTAAAGTAATATTAAGCTCATGCATCAAAAATGCGTTTATTTAAAATATAAATAATGTACTTTAAAACACTGAATATGATATACACCTACCTTGTTTCTCAGAACCTATAGTAGATTCAAGTTTACAGATTTCTCCCAGCTCATACTTTTCAGGACTTATTTCTTTTTCTATGACTGGCTGCATTGGTTGCCAAATATCTATTACCTCTTCTTTTTCAGCAGTTTTAGGGGAAATATCCTCAGAAGAGCTTTTTAAAGGTGGTATTTCAACAGAAGTAGGTGGCTCATCTAAATCTTTAACATCCTCTGGTTTTAATTTGTCTTCTACAAAGCTGTCTTCAATAGAATTTGAAATAAAAGACGGACTTATCGATGTTTTCAAATGAGCTGACAAAAGATGAGATTCATTAATTTTACGATTTAAGTTTGTATTTACAACTGGTTGAACTTTTAACTTTGGAGGTTCTAAACCAGGTGTTTTTCTTATAGTAAGAGGTTTGGGCTTAATGGGAAGCTGGCCAAATGCAGCTTTACGTTTAGGACTCTCACTATGATCAAAACTCTCATTAGATTTAGTATCCTGTTGAGAACTTGGTTCAGATGGCTTAGGAAAATATGTAACAATTTTGCTTTTTGCTGAAGACTGATCTGGACAAGCATCTTTAGAATACCTATAAGGAAAAACAAATTTATGACTTCTTATACCTTAAAATAAGACAAGCATATATAAATCAATCAACATAACTGAACTTGAACTAGAAAAATTCAAATTCAAATTAGTAGCAAATTGAACAAATAAAAGCTCAAGATATACAATTTAAAAATTAATGACAGCATGCACTTATATTAGTCTGCAAAGTTGTTATTTTCCAATCTGTAATCGCACTAAAGCATCAAATAGGTAGTATATCATTCTTTTCATGAAATCAAAGGTTATGGTAAAAACTACAAACATGATTTTTACATATATTAAGTATGACAATTCATTTGAAGTAATTTGCATAATGGATAATAATCAAATATTTTTCACAGCAAGCAACTTCAAATTGTTCAAAGTACAATAAGCTCTAAGCAGTCTATGACACTTTCATGCATGTCAGCACTCAGCAAAACAGATGCATATGCAATAATTTTTACCTAGGAACACACTGGTAATACAGCAATCTTTCTCTGTAGTTGCTGAGAACAAAAAATTAATTTGTTCAAACAAAATTTACTTAAATGCACAAAATTCAGCTCATAATTATGATGAAGCAAATTTATTTATTATTTAAATCATTCTGATTCAATACTTCATGTATGCGATACACTAAATAATTTGCAGCAATATATTAATGAATTTTTTATGTATACTTATAAAATTGAATATCATTTAGAAATGATGTAACTGTTACAAAGCTGACTTACTTCTAATTAAAATATTACCGATATCAGTTTACATAATATTTAAATACTGGAAGACATAGAATCTAAAATTTTACAAAATTTAAGTAGATCATTTCATTACAGTAATTTCACATTTCATTACAGTAATTTCAAAGTTTCATTTACAAAATGATTCAATATTTTAAACACACTTAAATCAACAAGCTCACATACCTAAATGCATTTTTTTCTTGATCAGATGATTTGTTTTGAAGAACAGATAAGGCCACATTAACTAATTCTCTTTCATCTAGATTTTTATCCTTGGTAGTACTATGAGTTTGACGCTGAGATAACATAGGTTTTACTGGTAATGCTGGTTTAGGAGGAACAACTGGTTTAATGATACCTGAATTAATATGCTTTGACTGCTCTTTGTTCTTTTGAAGACCCGAATGATTTGAAAGTTCTGAATCGGAAACCTGAGATATGGGGCTATTGTTGTTATTATTTGTAGAATCAGTCCAATCACCACATTTCTTTTCACTACTTTCATCCAAGTTGTTAGAAACAATTATTTCATTTTCCTAATGGAAGATAAAACTATTTTACCATTCATGTGAATCATTATATATTTTTAAATAATTCATACTTTAATTTTAAATAATTCATACTTTAATTTTTAAAAAATATGAATTTCAATAAATATTCATATACTAAAAATCAAACTATGTTAAATGAAATTCATCTGCCTACCAAACAGCAGATGATACAACTTTTGTGCATATTGTATCATCTGCTGCTTGGCAACCTCGATTTTACCTATTCCTCCATGATTTGCATCTACCATTTGGCAAACATGGACTAATTCAGTGACATTGTTCAACATGGCTGTATAACAGGGTAGGGCAAATATTTTTAACCATCAGCCAAAAAGGTCTTTTTAGTGCATCATGTGAGTAAAGTCATTATGAGGTGCAATGGTGTTTGTGTGACAATCTTTTGAGGTAGTCCTATTGTTTAACAGGATGCTACTGGGAGGGGAATACTCCTTCCCAATAAAAAATTTAAAAAAATAAAAAAATACAGTTAAATAAATTACAAATATGCCACAAAAGGATATGTTCATATCAGTCACAGTTTCATTTTAAAATAAAAATTTAGAGGATGAAATTTTCTTTCCCCAAATTCTCTTTTCTGATCAGTCTTTTTATATCACCAATATTCATGTTTCATTGTTCAATTTCTAAATTAAAACTGCTAGAAATGATAGGACCATGTTCTTTGGCAGATACACATGCTTCTAGTCTATCCAGGTTTTTAGCTTAGGCTGATCAATAATCATGTGCATATATGTTGCAATACAACAGGCTAGATATATCCGACTTTGGTAGCTACACTCAAAATCAGGCAGGAAAGAGATGAAAATATCATTGCATAAGATTTTATAATAGAGTGGATTAAGCATCGGTCTGCGAGTCCACTTTTACACTGCTGTATAGTAACCAAGTCATATAGCATTTAATCAGGAGGTTGCATGCATGAATAAAATGGTTACAGCCAAAAACATCGCGGACGATAACGTCGCGGAGAAAACAACGCAAGGCAAAAACGTCGTGCTACAAAACATCGTGGGAGAAAACATCGCAAAGAGAAAACATCACAGTTCTAAAACATCGTGGTACAAAACATCGTCGTCGAAAATAAAGTGGTTCAAAAACTTCGCAATTTAAAAACATAGTCGTTGAAAATATCGTGGTAAAAAATAAAGTATCTACAAATCATCGCTTGATGATAACATCGCAGACATGCTTTTTTCATACAAGCTTTCGCAAAGAGCGTTAATAACTGCAAATGGATAACCCATAATGATTGTGAGCGCAAAATAGAAAGGATAATTTTTACTTTCATTTTTTATTAACTAATAAATTTTTCCTGAAAAAGTAAAGAAGGAAACTTAAGCATAGAAAATTAATGCAACTTAATAGCAATTAATAGAATTTTAAACCGACATAATTAACTAACAAAGGCCATTAATAAATAATTTTTAATAAAGTTTTACAGGTAATTTTTCATGAAAAGTATAATCTATTAAGTTGCATTTAATTTTCTATGCTTAAGTTTCCTTCTTATTTTTTCAGCAAAAATTTAGTAGTTAATAAAAAAATGTGAAAGTAAAAATTATCCTTCTTACATCACTTGCGCTCACAAATCATTATGGGAGATTCCATTTACAGTTATTAAAGCATGGAAAAAAGCATGTCTACGATGTTATCGTCATGCGATGATTTGTAGATACTTTATTTTTTTACCACGATATTTTTAAACTGTGAAGTTTTTTAACTGCTTTATTTTCGACAACGATGTTTTGTACCACGATGTTTTCTTCCATGATGTTTTGTAGCACGATGTTTTCGCCTTGCATTGTTTTCGTCTGCGATGTTATCGGCGGACACCCAATAAAATATGCTTATACTTGTTATCCTTTTCTGCTTATCTACACCATATTATTCTGATGCAGCATAGGAGATCAGCAAAATAAAACATTTTACTGATGATCATGAAACAGTTTCTTTTCTTAAAAAGGGATTAATTAATAACTGAGTCAAGTACTGGTTTAAAGCACGATGAAAGATACTTCAAAGGCATAACATGTTTTACTGATTTGTATCCAGAGATATTTATGTGGTTCTAGACCAAAAGATAAATTTACCACTTTAAAACTCATCGAGTTTATAATTAAAACCCTTTACTAAAAATATTAATAGCAATTAATTTACTGTTATTTACATATAAAATTAAAAGTTAAACTCTCTTGCTTCTTTGATGATTAAATTCTTCCATACATATGCAGAATTCCAGTCGCACGTGACATAGGCAGCTAACTATGACATTGACTTTGGAATGGCATCAGCTAAGTTGTTCTAATAAACAACTATAGGGTTGCAACTAAGTAATTGCGGATTTTTTTTAGAAAATCAAAGACAATTTTTTCATGGAACTAAATAACTTTATTCGTAATGTATTGCCCATTTTAATCAATGACCTTTTGCTCTTCAGCAGCTCATAAGCCCAGTCATCAAACTTCTGGTTTTTATTAGCAAAAAACTGAATCAGGTACGATTTGACATCATCATCATGATTGAAATTTTACCATTCAAGGAGTTTTGTAAAGATCGAACAAAAAGAATCAATGGTGCAAAGTCAGGACGATATGGGGATGTGGCAAAATACATCCCCAACCAAGCTCCATAATTTTTGGCCGAGTGACCAAAGATGTGTGTGGCCTTGCATTGTCATGATGGAATACACCTTTTGATTTGTCAATTTGGGCCACGGATCTTCAACTGCATGTTTAATTTGTTAGTTGTTCAATGTAGACTTCAGAATGATCGTTCGGGTTGGGTGGTAAGAAGTTCAAACACAATTCTGTTGTAATCCCACCAAACTGAAACAAACCCGTTTGATGAGATCAGCTTTGATGTTGTTTGAGGTTCACATGGCCTGCTCCACGATCATTTCCCCCCCGCTTGCCCGGGTAAACAACCCATTTTCATCACCGCCAGTCGTTTAACAAATGGAATTTTTTCATAATGGTTTGCAAAGGCAGCTGGTATGGTTGGCGTTAAATGGTTTTTTTCAGTTTCGGAGGAACCCTATCGAGTTTTTGAACATAGACAGTTGTTTTAAGGACTTTCAAGGCATGTAGACATGAAGCTCTCTTGCAATCTCACGTGGGGTACTGTGATGATCCCAATTGACATTGCTGATTAAGCACCATCAACTTCACTGGACACCAAAGCATTTTTTCATCTTTGAGTGAAAATTCACCAAACGAAATTTGGCAAAACAATTTTGACATGCCATTCGGTAGGCGGCGCACCATAAACAGCACATAACTTTTTATGAGCTTGCGATGCGTTTCCCTGGCGGAAATAAAAAAGCAAAAATGACGAAATTTTCCTTTTGATTTTCCATTTTTCAACGAATGGCAAACGAAAACTACGCAACCGATCAAAAAAAAACTTTTCTTACTGATTGACAGCTAAATTGCCAACTATCAAATAACAAAATGTGTTTTACATTTGTACTACGTCTGCAACCCTAAAAATTCAACTGAAGCCATCTATGAGTGAAATCCACAATTACTTAGTTGCCAACCCAATAAATAAAGGCATATTTTATTTTGAATTATTAATACTTTTAATTCTTATGGAAAACAAACTTACAGATTGCTTAAAGTAGAAAAATGCTGGAATCTGGCCTTGTCAATGCAAATGATAAATATCATAATTTCAGGTAGATAAACTGCAGCTTATACGTGTTTACAAGTTGAAAATTTAGGTGTGTGGTATATTTGTCAGGATGGCTTATCTGCAGGAACTTTATTTTCCTGTATCTTTAGACTTTACTAGTTTAGATCATAGGTTGCACAGAAGCAAAATGATTAATGTGGAATTCGCTTCAACATTTTAGCCTAATAAAAGCACTCAGGTTGCACTAATGAAAACAAGTTCGAACTTGTGTGAAACTCGGCAAACTTCGATAGGGTGTGCTTCGTGTAAAGACATTGTAATGGATGCACTTTCTGCTCAACTCTGTGGTGCCATCCGCTTTTTCAACGACCATCTTGAACGGCCACAGGAACTTTTATTTTGTCACATTCTGTGCTCATTCTTACACATGTCTTACCGCTTACTTGTTGCAATGCTTACTTTATCTGTTGTTGCTGAACTTATTATGATTGTGATTTCTATTCAAAAAGTTACAAAGTTGGTTTCAAGTTTTTGGCAGTGAAAAAAGTTGAAAGAAATTGGAAATCAGGCTGTGGCTAGAGAATTTCAAGTTGATGAGCGATGCATTTGGCAGTGGAAGTCCGAACAAGAATAAGAGAAAATCGCTAAGAGACGGCTGTGTAGAATCAAAAGTTCCCATTAAACTCCGACGAAGCACTCTTGAGATGATAGATAGTTCTTTTATTGTACAATAGCAGATCTTGGACTATATCTAAATAGTCCTTATAAGCTGCTCGGGTGTCCAGACCACACTCTCTTACCACCTGTCAAGGGCCCAGGGTTTCCAGTGGTTCAGCGAGTTCAAGCATGACACCATTGAAGACATGGAACAATCTGGATGCTCTTCAGGTAAGTGGTTTGGATAAAAATGTGGCCAAAGCAAAAAATCTCTTAAACTTTGAACACCATTTTAAGTGTTAAGATTAACTGATGAAGACTTCAACATGAGCAAAACAATTGTTCAAAAAATTATTTATCAAAACCTGAACTTGCAGAAGGTTTGTGCAAAATTTGTGCCAAAAGTATTGAATGGTGAACAAAAACAATGATGAGATGACATTTCCTGCGAGATGTTAGAGCAGTTAGAAAGTGAATCTGACTTTTTAGGCTACATAATAACAAGTGATGAATCATGGGTTTTCTAGTAAGACCCTGAAACCAAGCACCAAAGTTTGGAGTGGCACATTCGAACTTCCCACATCCCAAGAAAGTGACAATGTCAAAGTCCAAAGTAAAGACAATGTTCATTGTTTTTTTGACAAGCATGGAGTGGTTCATAAAGAATTTGTACCTCCAGGGTAAACCATCAG